TCTTAGTGTAATCACAAAAACTGCTGATTTGAAAGCATGCTTTTATTGTTTAGGGTATCGACTTTGTTAATTTCAGACGAAAAACTAGGGAACACAAAGGAAATTTGCTCTCTGGGTTTGGATAAAATAGGTTATTTTTGAAATAAATTTTCACAGTTGGTGAAAAGAGGAAAATTATTTTGAAGGCACATTTTAGATGCAAAACAAAATATATACAAAAGTTGAAAAGGAGCTCCTAGGAGTTGAAAGGGGTTTAAAGTCGAAATAAGAGCTTTGAGGTGTATTAAATAATAAAATTGTTTAATGGTGTTTCTTCCTGAATGGAAAAATATATTAAAACCTATATTTACAAAAAATAAAAAGTGGGCCTTTACGGACCTCAAATAAGCTAAAGTGTGATGGTGGGGCGATTCTTAGTATCATAGCATGAAGCATGTCTTTTTTACATATTATCTAAAGCATAAAATATAACTTCAAGCGTGTAGCATATTTTCTCAGCTGAGTTGTAGTGTTTCACTTTTCAATTTTTTTATGAGTAACATCTCCTTGTAATATTATACTAGTTCAGTTATAGCATACGGTTTATGCATACAGTGTTATGTTTGCTAAATTTTTTTCATAAAATAATATTATTGAATTTAAAGCAAGTTCAAAAGCTTTTTACCCATATTTTATATAAGTATGTTCAACTGGGTTGCATCATCAAAGTGCATAAAAATGAAAATTTTATTTTTAAAATTTTAATTTCTAGCAAAATTTTAAATGTTTTTGTCTTCAGACTTACTTAACTATATTCAAGCACCTATCTCCACAGACACACATCAAAAGCATGCAAAATTAATTTAAAAAACAAAAATTAAAAATTGGTAGCTATCTGGAAAAAATGTCTCAAAGGGTCACTGGTATCGCCATATACATATACCGGTTCTCAAAGTTCAGGATTTCGCTCTAGATTTTTTTAAGTCTCAATTTTGTGTCCTTAGGGTTCATAATTATGATTCATGCAGTGTTATTCCTAGGATTTTTTTGGAAGAGTAAAAATACTCCTTGACCTTTTTTAGGAGGAGTGAAATACGGAAAAAGCAACAACTATATATACAGAGACAAATTTTCTATAAAAAAACACTTTTTTAATGGACAAAATGAAATAGAAAAAAATGAGGATGCTATTTTGGTTTTTGACAATTATAGCATATGTTAAATATTAGTAGAAAATATTAAACATTATAAATAAAAGAATTTATTTTACATTAAACATTCTAAATGAAATATTTATCTAAGATTACAAATTTAATATCCTTTTCCTCTGATTTTTCCACAGTGTTACAGCTGATTTCCTTATAATATCAAAACTCTTTCAAAATTAAAGTTACAAAAAACATTTATTCTTGGTTACATTACAATTTTAATCTCTTTTTCCACTGATTTCCTTACAATATCACAGCTCATTCAAAATTAAAATCACAAAAAACATTTCCTCTTTGTTCTTTGAAATCTGGGCCTTGCTCAGATATTCTCGTTAGAATTTCCAGTTGTTTTCCCCCCAAATCTATTTCTCCTATTTGATTTGATCCTATTTTGAGTAGAAAATCCTCTTTCACAAACAGCCTCTGACAAAGGTATAGTCATAGATAGCTATTTGTGCCAGGGCTGTAAATCCTGGATATAAGAGTTCACCATCTAAACTTGATGAGAACAACAAATTGGCAAGCTGTTTAAATTTGAATTCTCTGTAGCGTGCATAAAAACACTACTTCAAGGTGCTCTTGCTTTAACTCTTCTGATGAAACACCCAAAACCGAAGTAGAATCTGGCCTATAATAATGTTTAATAACATTATCTAGGGACTCCAATCTTGATGATTCTGTTCCAAATATGACACAAGACAACAAAACATCAAAATTCTGCAAAATATGCATCTGCTGCAAATTAAATCTTTCTTGTAGATTCTCTATCAGCACACTCAAAAAAGCATTTTTAGCACTCATGAACTCATTTAAAGATTTAGTATAAACAGATAATTTAATGTCTTGAATTTGATACTCCTTTTTCATTTCCTGCATGCGATTAATAGTTGATTCTAGACTGTTAACCTACACAGAGACATCCAATTCATTGCTCTGAAAAATTCTTTTGACTTTGTTCAGAATCTCTCAAAACTGACAAGGTGGCTGCAAATGAAAATTGTGAGCATAGTTTAATTAACCCTGAGCCCTTGCCCATAGTTGCTTGTTTTTCTGTTTGCAATTATGTCTGTCAGAGCAAGGATCACAGCATCATAACTGATATGACATGCATCAACTGCATTCCCAAGTGACAACCACCGAACAGCATTTATGTCTTTGAGAGCTAAGTTTGGCTCATTTAACACATCTTGCACCAATTTCAGCTTTACAATCCTAATATTGGACATGTGAAAATAAGCATACAATGAACTTAAAATTCTCTGGCAGCTTGGAAACACAGATATTCCATCAGCAGCTTGGGAAACAGCTTAAGCTAAACGTTGAGCTATGCAGTGATAGTGCAACAAACCAGGTATCATACCCTGAAATTTTTTGCCAAGTCCATTGTTTTTCCCCATCATAACAACAGCACCATCCGTTGAAAGGCCACAACAGCACCATCTGTTGAAAGGCCAACAACTTTTGATAACTGTATTTTTTTTCGTTAAAAAACCTTATTATTATTTCTTTCAGTGTATCTGCAGTGCATTCACCCGATATTTTTAAATTTGCCCAAAGACTGTTCTTACTTTTATTGTTTTTCAAATATTTCACATATATAATTAATTTATGGTAAACTGAAATATCTGTGTACTCATCTATCATTAAAGAAATATAGGGACTTTGTGAAACATTCTCATCCAAATTTGATTCTAATACTTCTGAAATAGCTTTAGTTATGTCTGTAACTGAATTTGAGATAAATTCAAGTGTCTCTTTCACAGTCTCATTTCCACAGGATTTCATAAGCATCATTAAAGGCTTAAATTTCGTTAAAGGAAGTTCTTCTTTTCCAATAGTGTAAACAGTTTTGAACACTGCCAAATCGCCATCTGTTGTTGTAGATTTTTCCTTTTCGATGATATTTTTAAGAGCTTTAACATCTTTCTTGGCATTTAAAGAAAGCCTGTGTTTCGTAGTTTTTTTTTTTTTTTTTTTTTTTTTTTTTTTTTTGTGGCGAGACAGAGTATTTCTTTGGAAACATGAGAGTATTTCTTTGGAAACATGAACCCATCGCACCCACGCCGTTCTTCATATTGGCAGATTGAAACATGTTTCACAAAACATTTTATTTTCCTCTTTATTGAAGAGGACGCAAGAAAATTCTTTAAGCCACTTACTTAAAAATGTTAGAAGTTTCTTCTGGTTGTTCATCAATCTTTGATTTCTTAGCTGACGGTTCTGAGCTGGTTGACAATTGGCTTGACAGCTTTTTATAAAAAAACTCCTTGATGGATTTAGAACTCATATTTAAATTAATTTTTCTCCTGGAATAATTGCTTCGGTCTCAAGGGGACCCCCCTATTGAAATAAATAGTTTAAAAAATTAGTTAGTTAGAAACTAAAAAATATTTTTGATGTGCTTCTCCTAAAAGCTGATCACTTGTACAAACTTCCGTTTCGTTTTGCAGACTGTGTGGGATTTCTTAAATTTAAAATTTACTTCATGTGAAGTCTTAATTTCGCTTAAAATATTAATTTTTATGTGAAAGGAATTTATCTTATAATCGCGAATACAAATTACAATCGTTTTAAGAGCAACATTTAGTAAAATCAGTAATGAGTTTGGCAATCTCGCTCCATCAAATTAAAACAATAATGATAATAAAAATTATACTTCTCTCCTACAGAATATTTCAAGAAAACAAAAGTATTTACAGCAGGGTTTGTACAATCTGAAAAAATACTTATTTTTGCCCCAAAATTGGTCGAAATCTCAAAATTTATGCAAAATACTAATTTTTGAATAGATAGTTGTTAGCTAAATATCGATTTTCGATTGGGGTGACTCTTAGACGAATTAATTTCATATAACTAGAACGTTAAGTCCCATTTGCCCACTAGAAGATCGAAAGGAGATGTCTATTTATCACAGCTCACAATTATCGATGAGATTCCAATTTTTGTACCCAAAAAACGTGATACAATTGCTATTTTTTTAACAAAAAGATAGCAATAAAGCACCCAGATTTGCGCTGTAAGACTAGTGAAGATAATGATTTTTAAAAAAAGAAGATTGGAATTAAAATTTTATTTTTGTACTGGTAGTTCTCGGTAAAATTTGGACTTTTTTTCTTAACTAGCACAGAATAATGAAAGAATTAAAAATGCAAACAACACTATAAGCATAAGAATAATTTAAAGGCATATTAGAAATCATGCTAGAAAAATTTAAAAAAACTTAATTACCTTTATATATGCTTTTAGTTCACCTTCAGTTTTCTGAAAAGAGTGCAAAAGATTTTTCCAGCTCGTAATGTGAAATTTCACCGAACTCCCAAACCACGTGTGTCGATAACCAATTTTGCTATTCGAATGACCACCCAGTAATATGGAATGCGTGACGAAATCAATGCTTGTAAATATACAGCGGAACTTTAATTTCTTTCTTCTACCCTCTGGCCATGATCGCTAAGTCAGCATGGTGCCGCGCCTATATTCCTTGCCATGGAGAAGTCGGACAAAATTGTCTCAGTGGTGTGTTGAATAGAAAAAAATATTATTTGTTGATATCGGGTGCTATGCATTTTTTAAGCTAAACCTTTGTTGAAAATTCAGTGCGTGAAAATATGCCTGGCTAGTTTTTTAAAGCATATTTCCGATTTTCAATGCATGAAATACGCTCTCAGAGGCATTAAAAATATCTCTGGATTCATGCAACATTTTACCACAATTTAAATTATTTTACATACCGTGCCTCAAAGGGGTAATGTCATCAGTTTCAGTATCAGTGATTAAATTTTTAAGTTCCTTTTATTCTTTAAATTTTTCTAGGTTTAAATAATTGTCAAGGATTAGCTATTGATTGGATGGGACGAAACTTATATTGGACAGATGAAGGTTTATTAGCAATATACGTGGCTAAATTGGATGATTCCTCTGTTAAGAAACGACTAATATATGATAATATGGCTCATCCTAAAGCTATAGTTGTGGATCCTAAAAGAGGGTAAGGCATAGTATCATTTTTATTAAATTATATTCATTTTTTGTTCACTTTTAAAATTATTTTTGAAAATGTTTCTGATTTTTGAAGTTTAATTTTTAGGTAGCATTTTTATGTATATAACACTCAAGTCCAGGAAAAAATAAAATAATATTGCATTATGTGAGAGAATTTAATAGCATGTAGGAAGTTAATTTGCATTTAAAAAATGGTTCATTTAAACGTGTAATATTTTCTGATTATCCGTAACCCCACCGAAATGTCACAAAATTCTTGCCAGTTTTCAAGGACTTTCTCAAACTCATTGGTGAATAATTTTTGGCCAGGTTGAAAAGGCAGCAGCCATTTTCTGAATGGCAGCACACTAAGAATTCCATACAAGAGAAATCAGTCAATAAAATTAAAAAGCAAGAAATATTAGCAATTAAACAGTTACTTTTTTTGAGAAATCCTTTTTTGTGTGTGTGCTGTTGATTCCTCTGTTCCTGTTAAAATGCAATTTAGCAAAAACAGGAACTTTACATACATAAAAAATAAACTTTATCCAAATTACCATTAATAATTAATTACCATCTAAAATAATATTTTACAAAAATTCTGTATTTGTTAGCAGCAGATGTCTTCATTATTTGAAACTACTTTAATGTTCGAATAACTTTTGAGTAATTTAACTATTCATCTAGTTTTCAAGATGTTGGCTTTAATAGTCTGCTGAATGTTATGCTAAATTTTGCTTTTGAAATTTGTTATATGCCATTTATAGGTTATGGGACAAATTTTCTGTTATCTCTGAAGTGTGCTAAAGTGCTTAAGGGGGGGGAATCATATATGTAAAATAATTTCACAAATTTCTTGCCAAGTTATGCCTCTTTTTTAATTCTCAGTTAAGGGCTTGACATACTTGAATTAGAATCAGTTTTATCAAAATTAATTTAGATGTTTGATGAATATAATGTAAATGTTGAAATTATTCCTTTGTCTAATAGTTAGATAAATAAGGTACTAGATGGTCTTTTCATGCTTAAAAAGATAATGTTTAAATGCTGTTAAAATTTTAAAATTTTTGTGTAACTTGGTTTATTATTTGTTATTAACAGAATTTTGCAGTATATATATATATATATATATATATATATATATTATATAATTAATAACACTGGAAACAAGAAATTTGAAAAATCAAGCTGGTTTCTACTATCTGTGTGACCAACCTATAAATCAAAATGTGTTTTACAAATATGCTCACAGCTAGTGCCAGTACAACAGTTTGACCAAAGTAGGTGGCAGAATTTAGTGATGATGAAATTTTGGGTAAATATATATATAAAGTGTTCACTTGGCAGCAGAATTTGCAAGTGGCAAAGATTACCTTGGAAAGCAAAAAAGCCATCCTTGAGGGCAGTAGAAGGTTGAAAACCTGCTTGTTTAAAATCCATCAATATTTGAAATTAACATAGGCTGTCAGATGTAAACATTGAAATTTGTAGTTTATAAGATCACTAAATCACAAATTTTTTAAATTGAAAACTTCTGTTTTTGTACCTCCATAAGTATTTATAGCCATATTCACTTGTTATTGAAATAGAGTGTGATAATGATAAATTTTCAGGATTTAGAGATAATCCAATATGAACTAGAGATGTAGTTTTTCATATAAAAGAAATGACAAAAAAATGAGCTAGAATTTCAAGTCTGGATTGGATGATAGATTCTATTAGGCGGCTTCAATAAGGCAGTGTTTTAAATCATTTGCAAGAAGATTTTGAACATGTTTAATAAAAGTATTATTTGATAAAATGTTTAGAATTACCAGAAAAATATTTGAAATTTTTGAGCAGCCAGGTTTTGTAGCTGATTAGGAAACAGTGTTTCTCTTTTCTGTTTTCTTTTCTCCTCCCCCTCCTTCTTTTGAAATCCATCTAATCTTTGCTGTCAAGTTGTGCAGATTTCTCATTTTCTACTTTATTACATTAGATAAGCACTGACACAAACTTTTTACTATATTGTTTTAAAATTATGTTTTGCAAATAGCATATTATATGGGGGGTAATTGTATATGGTGGTGTAAAATCTTAAAATACTGTGTCAAATTCTTTTCTTAAAATATTGTAATATCTGTATGAAAGAATGGCCTTTATTACCACAAAACTACATCAGCATAGAAACTTTGAATTTGCTTACCCTATTAATGAATTAAGATATTTTGCACTTAGTGATCTTATAGCATTTAAGGGTTGTATGTGCATGTGGGTGCCATATGTTATAAGTTATGTATCTATGAACTCTGATCAGAGTTCGAGGGAATGTCCTGCACTGCCCAATACTAGATTCGTGGAGTCAGTGAGGCAGAGGTCAGGGTCAAATCGGGCAATCCCTAGTTGTGAATGGTATCATGGTAATGGGATTAACTATAAAATATTTGTAAGTATATAGTTTTCCATAAGCCTGGGCAAACAATTATTAGAAATCCTTGTATCCACTTGAGGAACCGGATAGTCAAAAGAGTCAAGGAACTCAAACTTTTAGGTCAGATAATAGATGAAGAGCTCTTCTGGATTCTTCATCTACAAGCACAGAAAGCAAAGGCCCAGCAACTAACTACTAGCCTAAAAAGTATGCAAGATACAGATTTGAGAATAAGATCCCATATCCTTTTAACCCAAGTACTTTATGCCACAGTAGTGGAAAAAATGGGGCTGTGATATGGGCGTCCAACACCCCTTTGTACTTGCCATTACTAGGACCTATAGAAATACCTTGATGGCTGGCTCTACAGTACTAGCAGGTCATTCCTCTGCACATTCAGGCTGAGATAAAAGCAACCTTCATGACAGTAACGCTTGTCAATCAAGCTGCTTCTTTTGAAGGTTAGCAGTATTTTCCAGAACACTATGAAAACAAAACTTCAGTCACCAGCACTGTATAAAGAAGGAGTTCATACTTATACCGAAATGTTGCAAAACTGTAATGAGGGGCCCAACACAGTTATTATCTACACCGAAGTATAGTGACCGATGGTTCTCAAGTTGAGAAGGCAAAAGGCTACAGTTACATTGCCAATCAAAATCGGGAGGTATTGGAAATCTGGAAGGGTTATCCAGGACAAGGTAATTCCAGTGTTCCAGGCAGAAGCAGTAGACATTAGACAAGCCCTTCTTGCTGCAGGATATTTTGAATGTCGTAACATTAAATTACTCACAGACAGCCTCTCAACCATTTTTGCCATTCAAAATCCCTTCCATCGAGCACCACTCATAAGTGACATCCAGTGCCCAGTGACATCCAGTGCCCATTAAGAGACTGATAAGGCCCCATTAGCATCCACATCTCCTGGATTAAGGCTAATACTGGACACCAGGGCAATGAGGAAGCCGATGAGCTCACCAAAGAGGCTGCCCATGTGCATCAACACCCAAGACCTCTCCATTCCACTACCGAATTCACATCTCAAGAGGCATGTACAGGAATCAGCATTAAGGAAGTGGCAGAAGGAGTGGCATGGAAGGTCAAAGTACTCATGGCTTCTGTCACAAAGTAATGTCAGACCACCTGTACTCTGTTCCCCAGGTGACCAGATACTGGTCATAACCAGTTATGAACCCTTCCCATCATATTTCTTTGACAGGAGGATATCACCCACTAATGTGTGTGTTTCTGGTGATTTGGATATGCCAGAGCACTATGTCACTCCGTGTCTTCTCACAGAACATTGCTGTATGTATTAATTAGGTGTTATTTGTGCAGTATATATGAGTATTTTTTATCTTTGTTAATTGTGTATTACATATATGTGCCTATGAGGCAAATATATATAATTTATGTATTATATATATGTATATATTAACCTTCATAAGTTGTACATTATATTTATGCACACTGCATATTAACACAAGTGAATAGTGTTTGATGTATTACATATATATGTATATATTATATTAACCTTCATAAATTGTATGTTATATTTACGTACACTGTGTATTAACACATTGACTGCCACGGCACTTTTCGGATTCCGGTTCAAGAAGCCAAATCGATTTAATCATATTATATTATTAAAAATACTCATTATGATTTGTAACAATCATAAAAAAGTTTACAGGTTTTTTTTTGTGTAGAAAAAAGGGTCCTACGAATTATCTCGTATTCGGCTTTTGTTAGACAAAGCTCTTCACAGAAGCCCACTACGAGTTGATTCATATAGACATGCTTCAACTTGTTGCCTCAGTACAGCTAAAACAAGCGCTAAGCAAGTAAGTAACTCTTAGCAGCTAAAAAGTGGCAAATGAAGAAACTAAGAGATAACTCATATTGGGTGTCCTGGAAGAAGAGCGCTAATATGAGTTATCTCATGTTGGGCAGTCAACATGTAAATAGTGTATTGTTCATATGTACATCCCACCATAGCAAACTGTGCTAAACCTACCATTAGTAATCTGTGTATTTATATATAAGTATGTTGGAATCAGCATATTAATTAGTGCGTTCAGTATATACAAATATATCCTCTTACTGTAATGTGTAGCAATATGCGTATTATATACAAGTATGTTGTGTATTAGCATATACAGTACAAAGTCCAAAATCCGGATGTCCATTATACGGAGTGATCTAAAATCCGGACCTCAAAACCATCAAAACCGTTTTTCTCGTAGGCTTTACGCATGCTCATTTAATTACCCCCTCCGTGCATAATAAAACATCTCGAGAATCTTGATTCTTAATTTTACTTCGATACTAAATAAAATACCTTGTTATTGAAGAAATAATCATTTTAACATAAACTTGTACGATCAGTAATTTGGCTCTGTTGCTGCTTATCTGCTTTGGCGCACATCTCAAACCGAAACATTCCACATAGATACATCGTTGATCTGATGCCAACCTGACGAATCATTATTTATCATACTTTCCTTTTATCACTGCATGTTTATCAAAACATGTCAACTTGAGTAATGACTCATGTAGCGATACCTAAACAATTATTTTATGTTAGTAATTGAATAATAAAGGAGTATGGTAACCTTTTGTGTTCACGTTGTGCTTAGCGATGATTACAGATTTAAGATAAATGCGCTGAAAAATGTTGACGAGGAAATATTTATGAAAAATGTTTTTCCATATGCTAAAAATAGATTTTGTTGATACTCATAGAGCCAAAGATTACATTGAGGGCTATTTGAATTAAGAATAACTTATTTGTTATTCACATAAATCCAGAAACAGGGCTCTTATGGCTGCACCGAGTCGCAGAATTTAGGACCCACAGAAAGTGTATCAGGCAATAAGATATCTAGTGCCGGCCATCAATAAGGTTTAAGTGTATGTGGGAATTTATTTATTCAGAACTCTCATAAGCCTTAAGCATGTGCAAGAAATAGACATAAGTATAATAAATAACTAATACAATTCAGGCTTAATTGTCTCAGTGCGCGACAGAAGCAAGATAAAATTTAACGGCACGTCGTTATTCGCCAAGCTCATGATGCATAGCCAAATATGTATAGTAGTTAAATTTGATGATGATAGCCACTAATTTTAAAGATTTTCGGATATCGCAAAACAAAAGTGCAATTTTCCAATTAATGGATTTTGTAAAGAAATGTGGAGAAGTGGTAATAAATAAAGATGATATAAAAGAAGTTTTTCATAGTGATGACAATCATTTTCAATCATCAATCAATTAATGAACGGCGAAATCTGTAGTATGGTTCTAGATCCAGAAAATACCGCTACCGATTGTGAAGAAAGTGACAGAGAAGTTACTGAAAACGAGAAAATTTCGATTGGCAAGTTAGTTGGAATTCTCAAAACAGCAGTTACAGGACTTCAACAGTGTAACTGAACAAGAGATTATGTCACTCTACAGAATTAAAGAGAAAGTATTAGCACAAAAAATGAAGTAACTTAAACAACTTACATTGAAAGAAATGTTTAATAAGGTAAACAAATAAATATTAAGCTTTTTTTTTTTTTTTTTTTTTTGTAAATTTTGATACCCTTTAGATCACAAATACTTCATTATTTCATAAATCATGATTACATATTTTTTATTTTATAATTTCTACATGCGATCTTACTAGATTTAAATTGATGATCTAATATCCGGAAAAATCCCAAATCCGGAATCGCCGAAGTCCCGATGAGTCGGGATTTTGCACTTTGTACTGTATATGCATACAATAATTGTGCTAGGTATGAATATGTAGGTGTTTTCAATTATTGTAATGTATTTATTTTGTGTTTCCTTTTGTATTTACAATGGCAATGTGTTCTGACGTAGCCATTGTGTGGCCTTGTGCAGTCTTTACTGTAATACACTTTTGATGCAATCCTTGCGAGGCACTGGAGGGTGTTGCTGTGGACAGTTGCGGGTACTGGACGACACCCGATTAGTCATATAAATCCGTCCGGCCCCACATTCACTTGTCACCTATTAGCATGTTATGCATCCTAAATGAAATACTCTTTCAAATGTATAATACTTTCAAGTCGTGTTTTTAGATGTGTTCCTAATTTCGATGAAAGGTACATAAAATAAAAATTGGCAAAAATTTGTATTTTATTATTTAATTTTTAATGAAATGATTATATATTTTACTATTAGGAAAAAATGCACTAATTACTAGAATTCTGTATTTCCAACTTATGCCAAAATAAATGTTTTCTTAACTTTGATTTAGCATGACTGTAAATATTATTATTAATTTTACTGAAAAAAAACTTATCTGATTTGGGCAAAAAAATAGTATTATATGTATTTCTTTATCAAGATAATGAAGCAAACTTTATTATCATGTTGTTGAATGATCTTTAGAATAGTTTCATAAAGTCACTTTTTGATTTTGACTTTCTTTGTAAATAGAACCTACTCTCTAGTGATTATAAATTATTTGGTAACTTTTAATTCTACCATTATGTTCATGCTTAGCAGTTTATTTTCCATTTCTAACATTAGAGCAGTTTTTCTTCATAGTTTTCAAATAGGCAATTAAAGTAATCTTTCCTGGCAGTCATTTCCTGTAGATAACCATATCTGAAAGTGACCAGTATAAAATGTAAATAAATAGGAATACTGATAATTATAGCAGTATAATTTCCAAATTTTTGTTCTATGTAAGAGGATTGAGACATTCAAATATGTTGTAAGACAGCTAAAAAATATCTAATTTTGCAGTCAAACTGTTTTATGCATTATATATTTCAAAGTGTTAACTTCTGTTTGTTACTGTAGCAGCAAGACTATCTTTTTGGAGAAAGATACATCGTCATTAATTCAGTGCATTGGGATACAGGATTTATTTTGACAGTGAACAACTGCCATTAAATTATTCATCACATTCCTTTTTGTAACTGTTTTATTTTCTATCCCTATAGCTAGTATATATACAGGGTGATTCTAAATTCATGGTTTACAAACTTAGAAGAGAGGTACAGAATAAAGATACGAATAATATTCACATAGGAAACCTGGGTCACAATCCATTTATTTGTTCATAAATACAACTTAAAATCCATTTACAATAAGAAAACTTTAAAATGAAATTAAGATTGCATAACATCTTTTATGAATTGCTTCATATGAAGAACTGCATTCACAGAATGTTTTGTTACTCATTTAAAAACAGCTTGCTTCAAACTATGTCATGAAACACATTTGTGTATTAGTAATTTGTATAGAAAACACCATTGCTGGTAGAGGACAGTAGGTATGCATCTCACTAAAGGAAGACACCATTTGTGATAGTGCTGTCATCAGTGATGGGAGACTTTATGTATTTTAAAGAAGCAGACATGCAATACATGTCCAGCCGTGCAAACGGTAACACCGAGCTGCACTATGAATGTATCACGTGCAGTTTCAGGATAGCCGAATGCCAGATCACAGAACGTTTCAGTAGTTACTTTGTGAAACAGGTTCTTTCCATGTCACCAGACAGGATGCTGGTCGATGGCAAACCGTATGCAATCCAAGATTTAAAGAAAGCATCTTGAACATTGTGGCTGATAGACCCGAATCAAGTGCAAGAGCTGTTGTACAAAATGTAGGTATGAATCAACATACCATGTGGAGAGTGTTAAATGAAAATTGCTTACACCCCTTCCATTTTCAGTGAGTACAAGCTTTGAATCTGCAAGACTATTCTCTGCACCCAAACTTCTGCCAGTGGCTTTTGCAGCAATTTGCATTTCAGCTGCACATCACAGCACATATGCTGTTTGTAGATAAGAAGTTTATTTGCGAGTGTGTGGTTCTTAAGTATGGGCACCAGAGAATCTAAATGTAATGCTATAATGTGCATCTCAACAACAAACAGGGAGGACTGCGCACAATGAACTGTAAGTTGATCTGTCAGCACTATCCTTATCTTCAGGGCAGATGTTTTTATTTTATTCGGCTTATAATTCCTTACTAAATATAGTATTTCATCTCATCATACTCCGTATTTGATATGATTTAAATCAAATTCCTCATCATTATAAATATCACAAATACACATCAAATAGTTTTCTGGTTGCAATTTTCTAATTTCGACTATGAGTGATGTATGCTTTACCCATGCACGCATTGAAAGAAATGTAAAAAAGTAAACAAATAAATATTAAACTTTTTGGTAAATTTTGATAGCCTTTAGATCATAATTGCTCTTTATTTCATAAATTATGGTTTCATATTTTTAATTTTATAATTTCTGCATGTCATCTTACCAGATTTAAACTGATGATCTATAATCCGGAAAAACCGATAATCAGGAATCGCCGAAGTCCCAACGAGTCCGGATTAAAGACTTTTGACTGTAATAAACAAAAAAAAAAAAAAAAAAAAAAAAACTGCCATATTTTTTAGTTTGTTTAAGTTTATAAAGGAAATAATAATCTCATTTAATGCATTATATTATTTTTAATGTTTATTTCTCATTTATGATTATTCTGTTGTGCAAGGTATGTTATTGAATAGAAATTCTGTTTTTTTCTTATTTTAGTATGATGTATTGGTCTGATTGGTCTACAGAGTTTCAGTTGGCTCTTGGACAGTATGGTGGGAAAATTGAACGAGCGCATATGGATGGAACTAATCGGCAAGTCTTCTTAAGCATTAATTTGCAGTGGCCAAGTGGACTGAGCATTGATTATTCTGGAAAAAAACTGTATTGGTGCGATGCTTACTTACACAGGCTGGAAAGAATATCTCTTGATGGAACTAATCGTGAAGTAAGGAATTATATACTACTGTTACTTTAAACAAACCAATAGTTTTGACTTTTTTAATATTTTCTAGTAAAAATTTATATTAAGTAATTTTCATGTTTTGGTTTTTTAATAAAGATTATTTTATTTAAGTGAAAACACCACCATCAATTTCTGAAGGTGAAGGCCCCTCAAAAAATATTTTCTGTTTTAGCATTAAAAAAAAAGAAAAAGCTATTACTTTGTTAGTAATCTAAAAAAATTGTTAAATCTGGTAATATTTTGCTAAACTAATATATATACAAATTCTGATATCTGAAATTCACTTGGAGCTATAAGCATTCAAAAAGTAGTAACACATAAAATATAATAAATAATTGTAAACCCAAATTTGTGTATATAGGGTGATTATAATTAAAGTTGCAATTTCAAAATGCTCTATTTTTAAAACTACCAATCAGAATGATTTGATATTTTACCAGAATAATCGGGAAGCAATGGAATTTTATTTGGCAAAGGAAAACAAATAGTTCCAAAATGTGCTGAGAGATGGCACTGTCAGGGTTCACATTATGGAGGCATGCAAATTATTAAAATGCGACGTGCAGACCACAGACATAGCTGTGATAAAAACTATCAGAACACACAATGCTTTGCCTGTGTACTTCATGACTCTGACAAAGAAGGATCGTGCTCTGCTGTTGAAGCTTTTATATCAAAACATTAACAGTGCGTTAACAGCTATGAAGAAGTTCCAGACATTAAAAGGCATAAAACCTGGCCCAGTGACCACATATGGCCTGCGGAAAATGACAGAAAAATTGCGAAAATTCAGAGACCAGTTCATTTGATGTAAAATGAGGTAGAGGATGAAAACCAGTTTCAATGGTGGCAGTGGAAGATGTGGCCACAGCATTACAAGAACAAATAAACAGTGATGCATGAGTCAGCAGTGCATGGGACATAGCTGAATGTTGGATATGCTTATCGGCACTGTGTGTATAGTCCTGCGGAGCATCTTGCATTGCTAGCCATACAAGATAATTCATATGCAGCAGTTGCTACTTGCTGAGGAAACAGGTGAATCATTTGCACTACAATTTCTTGCCTGAGTGGAAGTGGACATTGAATGACCATGGAACAATAATATGCTAAATTGCTGCATATGGGAGACTGAGAATCCATTCTACCTACAGCCATTACCTCTTCAGTCCAAAAAGGTCACTGTGTAGTGCAGAATAATGGTAGCATTTGCCCATTCTTCAAGGAGATTACACCTGTGGTCCTGTTACATGCACCATACTGGCGAGTAGTATGAAGCATTTTTGCATGTCCTTCTGGTATTTCAGCTGCATCAGTGATCGCATAATATTCATGCAAGATGGCACTCCTCCAGAGTTCCTACTCGTGTGAAGCAGCTGCTGATCGCTCATTTTGAAGATGATAAAATCATAAGCTGCCATTTTCCAACAGCGTGGTTGCCATATTTCCCCGATTTAAAAAAAGTGGATGCTTTTTGACTTTTGAGGATGCCTGAAGAATGTTGTTCACAGTAGTGGGTTGTGATCTGGCTGAAGGCAAGCATCATGCACTACATTCAGCACTAGCACAGATACTCTCCGATCTGTTCTGGAACATAATGTTTGCATTTCCAACTTGTAGCAGAACAAGGCAGAAGGCATTTCGAACAAGATATGTGTTAATCATCCATAAGGTGTTTGTTTCATCAAGCTTCTCGTTTTCTCTTGTCACTATCTCTGTTTTCGCTGTAAACACGTATTCTCATCTTTTAGTTAATTAATTTGTTGTTAATCTTTATAGTCTTTTGTTTCCTTTTGACTAACAACATTCCTGTGTTTAATGATTCCACTTAGGCCATTCTCCTGACATTACTTTGACAGCGCCATCTATCAGCACATTTTGGAACTATTTTTTTCCCTTTTGCCAAACAAAATTTCATCACCTCACAAGTATTCTAATAAGATATAAAGTCATACTGTGATAGATTTTATTTAGAGCATTTTGAAATTGCAATTTTAATTAGAATCAGCTTATATTTATACAACTGTACAGTTCTCTTTCTCTATATATAAATAGAGACAGAGATAGATGTAAATTTCTTATATGTATTTTGCTATATAGTTGCTCTAAATATATATATGTGTGTATGTTTCAGGCAAAGTATGAAATCTGGCAGTTTAGTAGAATACCTAGGCAGTTTAGTAGAATACCTAGGCAGTTTATAGAATGCCTGAAAACTGGCTGCCAATGTGTGAAAAGATTAAACATTTCACACATTGCCTAGACATTTTATAGAATATTAAGGGACAAACTGGCAAAGTATGAAATATATCTCCTATTCATTTTCAATAACTGAAACTACTTACCGGAAGTCAATAAAGAGGTAAAAAAGCCAAAATTCTTACTAAGAAGGAACCATGGGACTGTTGGTTGTTGAATCACTATGATGTGGTGTTTGTGGAAAACAAAAGTAAACTCATTAATCCTGTTAAAGAAGTCACCAGTATTACATCACAAACACTGAGTTATTTCACATACTTCATGAAACTCATCTGACTATTGGACGTAGAGAATATCCAATAAAATACAAAATGTTGCATGTAATGATATTGAATTGTGCGTCCACCTTTGTGAGCCCTGCAAGAAAAAAACCAAAAGGTACTAAAAAGGGCATTGTTTTGAAACCTGTGGTTTTTTCTGAGTTTAATTTATGTTTTCAGGTAAATCTTATTCATTTCCAGTCTCAGCCAGATAGATAATACAAATTTATTATGGTGTACCCAAACCGTATCACTAATTTTGTTTACATGTATTGAATAGAAATTTCTAATGGCAGTCTAATCATATTTTCTTTAGATTAACATTTGTACTTTTGAGGAATGAACGTCTTTTAAATTAGGTAGTTTTTCATGTTGTAGTTTTTTAATAAGGATTATTTTATTTTTGAAAACACCACAAACTCTCAAAAATTATTTTCTTTTTTAACATTAAAAAAAGGGTTACTTGTGGGAGCGAAATCTGATGATATTTTGCTCAACATAAAACAAATTACAAATCCTGTTATCTGAAATTCACTTGGAGCTACAAGCATTCAGAAAGTAGCTATGCACACACATAAAATGGGAATATTAAAATGTAATAACTAATTAACACAAATGTGTATATATTAATACAATTTTATAGTCCTCTTTCTATGTATATAAATAGACAGAGAGGGCTGTAAATTTGTAATATATATATATCTTGCTGTATATCTGCTCTCTCTATATATGTTTGTATGCTACTGATGAAGTAGGCCGGCACTACATGAAACGATTAAAGATTTCGCACATTGCCTTAGGCATTCTATAAAATGTTAAATGACAAAACCTTAAATGTATGAAATATATCTCTGAATCATTTCTAATACCATAACTACTTATTAGAAGTTAATTAATGATGTAAGAAAAGCCAAAATTACTACTAAGAAAGAACCATGGGATTATTGTTTGCTGAATTGCTGTGATGTGATGTTAATGCAAAATAAAGTTAAACTCATTAATCCTGTTAAAGAGGTCATTGGTATTATACAGTATTATGCCACGGACACTAAAATATTTCACATACAGTGAGTGATTGGTTAACAAACAGTTTGGACTGCAAACAAATCGGACAACGAACACATATTCAGATAACGAAATAAAACGAATTCTAACGAATACTTCTCGGCTCTCGGAGCATGTGCACGGTTGCCAAACACAACGGACCAAAAATTGTTTTTCATCTCTCTTGAATTATGTTGCTTGCCTATTAAACTTCAAAGTTCTACATTGGGAATTTTTTTTTTTCCAATAGAATATTTATAACCAAAGTAGACCATCAATTTCAGTTTTGATTTCAATCAAAACCGAAACTGATTTCAGTTTGAGCGCTGCCTCCCTCATTTATTCACTGTCCCATACGTAGTCTTGAATGACGAATTCTAGATTGCAGACCTGCTTTCCTCTCATGGTGAAACAATATGCATCTCGTTTCCTTCCCAGTTTATGAAACTGGTTTTTTTTTGGAAGCGCACACCGAACCGTATCTACATCACAAAAGATGAGAAAAATGTTCCTGAGCATAAACCCATGAAAGATCGATTGATGTTACTTTTGGAAGCTAGTGCTGGTGGTGATATGAAGCTTAAACCATTTCTCGTTTACCACTCTGAGAATCCTCTAGCATTAAAAAAAAATTCCTCGTTTACCACTCTGAGAATCCTCTAGCATTAAAAAAAATTCCATAATCAAGAGAAGACTGCCAGTAATGTAAAGATCGAATTAGAGAGCATGGGTAACGCAGGCTCTTTTCAAAGAATGGCTGTTTGAAGTTTGTGCCCCAGGCATCAAGGACTACCTTGATACAAATGACTTGCCATTGAAAGCACTGCTGCTATTAGACAATGCACCAGGACACCCAAAGGACCTTGAAGATAATTTGCTGACAGACATTCCCTGGCTGACAGTTCAACTTCTACCTCCGAATATGACTTCGCTGATTCAGTCGATGGATCAGGAGGTTATTGCGAGTTTAAAAAAATTGTACACTCGCGCGCTGTTTCATCGGTGGTTTGAAGCATACCAATTCTTCTCAACAATGACTTTTGTTTTGGAAAGAAAAATTTGACATTCTTGAACCTATTCGTATCATTCAAATGGCGTGGTCAGAAGTTACAAAGCAACAATTCATTTCTGCTTGGCAAAAGCTGTGTCCATTCTTTGTTCCAGGAGACGGAAGTGACCAGGGAGACACTCCGGAAATTAATGCTGCTAGAGATCTGGAATTGGAGGTGAACGAGAATGATGTTGAAGAGCTGATAACGGAACATGAAGATGAACTGACAACAGAAGAACTCCAAGAAATCTTGAATGAAGAACACCAAGAACACAGCGAAATGTGTCTCCTTCTGAACAAGAGGAAGACGAAAGAGGACCAATGGCGACATCTGCCATTAAAGATCTTTTGAAGAAGTGGGAGGATGTCAGTGCAATGGTCTTAGAATGGCACCCAAACCAAGCTGATGTCAGTAGGGTTGGGGATCTTTACAACGATAATGCTATTAATCACTTCTGGAAAATCCTGAAAAAGAGAGAAAAGCAATCAATATTGGACATGTTCTTTAATGTACCATAAACAATAAATGAAAAGGACTGATTAATATGCAAGATTATATGTATGTATTATTTTTTAATAAACTTACTAAGAAATTATATATCCTTTTTTTTAAAAAATTTAATTTTTAGGGTCTCCAGAACAATTTAATCGATTAAAAAAAAAAAAAAAAAAAAACTAAGGTAAATCAATGATAGGTTAATGAAGAATTCGGATAGTGAACATAGTCTTGTAAGAGATTTATGTTTGTTAACCGATCACCCACTGTACTTCATGAAACTCATTTGTGTGGAGTTTGTGAAACTGTTTTATGGGGAGGACGTGACAGAATATTGAAAGAACTTTCAACCAAATAAAAATATGCTACATGTAATGATATTGAACTGTACATCCTCCTTTGTGAACTGTTCCAGAAAAGTGATAAGGTGCTAAAAAGGGCATTGTTGTGAAACCTGTGATTTTTTTTCCTGAATTTAATTCCTGTTTTCAGGTAACCAGATAAAGAATATAAATTTATTATGGTGTACCAAAATCATATCACTAATTTTGTTTACATATTTTGAATAAAAGTTTTTAATGGCAGTGTATTATGTTTTTTTTCCCCCAAAATAACATTTCTATTTTTGAGTAATGAACTTTTTTTAAGTAATAGCCTTATTATAACCTTTTTTTGTTACTTTCCCTGAAGAGCATTTGTTATTGTATAGATGCCCAGGTATTGTATAGAATGCTTTAGATAAAGTATATAATAATTTTCATATTTCATACTTTGCCTAGAAACAGCAGGTATGCTATAAAATGCTTAGATATTCTATAAAATTCATTTCATACATTGCTGGTAACATATATAATTGAATGTCAATAAACTGTTGTTTAATCCACAAATGCTTGTAATCCATACTCATTTTTAAGGAAGACAAATAAAATTTTATTTTTTGAAAATTGAGCATAATATAAGTATAATAAAAAATTCTTGTATTTTTTGATAACTCAGATTTCAACTTCTCGTGTTCCACAACATATACCAGGAAATTTACGTAAGTTACAGCACTAACTAAATAAATTAACAAATGTACAGTAGCACTGCAAATGCGGAAAAAATATTAAAAAAATAAATATAAATAAATAATATGTAAAAGAAACAATGAAATAATAAAATACAGAGAACTCAATAATCTAAATTGTGAATGAAATCCCTAAAAACAGATATTACCTCTTTAGTCCAAAAAAGTTCAGAAAAAAAGTGGTGGCCAAGATGCAAACATGTGGATCAAAATTGCGTGAAATATCTTCCTGTGGTGAACATTAACATATTCAAGAAGAATATACTTTACATATTAAGCACCATACTGAACTGTACAAAGCAACTGAAGCAAGTCCAAATTGTTTTAAATAACTCTTAAAATTTCCATGTTAGTCAAAAATTGAGTTACTTTAAAACCTGTTGAAATCTGGGCAACTTTTATTCTACAAAAAATTGTAGAAAAAAACATTTAGTCTATGGTGCATTTTGTGAGGCCAGATATTCTGTGTTCCAAATACAGATAGCATCATTTTGGTAAAAGCACGTCCAGTGAGAAATATGAACATGGAGATTTAAATCAATGTGACATTTTGTGGCTGTCTTTGCTAAAATCTTGCAGGGTCTTGGTAATAACAATCTAATCCTGCAAAGTCTTAATAATAATCTGAATTTCAACACAAAGTTTCTCTGAAATGCAGATTTTCTCTAATAATTGTAATGAAGAAAGAGAATTACTACATATTAAAATGTTCATTGATCTTAAACCATTTAAAGAATTTTAAATCCATTTTACAGGAAGGTTTAAGCCTAAAAGCAGCCTGAAAAACAGAGAATTTATCATTAATTCTGTACTATTTGAAACCTCTTTCTTGTTTACTTTCATAAACAACAAAAGCAAGGCCAACTTTATCATTCATCTTACTGTGTAAAATAAATTAATCAATACTCTTAAAAAACAGCATTGGAATAACAACTGGTAAAGAATTCCTGCTAAAAGCATTTGGCAGAGAAGAAACTGGAAAATTGCTGTCAAGAAAATTTGATGAGGATTGTCTGCATATGCTTTCTTGTATCACAATATTGCTCAAAATTGCAGTATCTGTGGGTGGAATACCAACAACAGTGAAAAGTATGTTGTAACTAATAGTCTTGTAGTCATGAAAAATTCTTAAAATCTTTCAAGTTCTTCTCCGAAATGTTCCTTAGAAACTTGCAGTTTACCTCTTTTCAGTAAAGAACTACTCCAAAACTTTGATGCATAGGAAATAACTGGCACTATTCCTTACCTATAGATCAATTTAAGAACATCTGTTTTGACTCCATAAGTGCTTTTAGAAATTTTAAATAATCTTGAGAGTAGTACACTTTTGCATTTTTTCTGAGAGATGGGAAATATAATACTTCCATTGAAATTTGTTATCCAAGATAATTCCTAAATACTTTATATGAGTAACTTCTATAGGGATGACCCTAAGTAATAAACATATTCTGTAGTCAGTGTTTATCTTTTTATTTACTATCATAAATTTGCCTTAAGCAGGAATAACTGTTTACAAATTTTAAACCACTAAAAGTAGTATCAAGTAAATCTTGAGACAAAGAACAAGCATCAATGAAATTTTGCATTGAACAGTTAAAAGCAGATCATCCACAAAAGCAATTTTAAAACAGTTTTGAAAAGCAGATAATTCACACAAAAGGTCATTCATTAATTATGAGATTCCACAAAAAGGGTCCAGAGACAGAGCCTTGAGAACAGACCTTTTCCAAACGTATATTTTTTCATAATATAACCCAGAGAAATTTCTAGTGAGAGTATGCAAAAAAATCCCTGATCAGGTAGAAGATGTTCTTAAGTACATTACCGCATTTCAATGAATTTATGATTCCTGACCACTAGGCATTGTCAAAAAGCCCCATTTATATCCAGAAACATCAAAATCATGATGTAGTTTTTCTATTTACCTTTCTTTATTATGCCACATAAGTGAAGAAGTGCATCTTTGTCTGTGCACTGAGGTGTAAAGCCATGTTGATCCCTATCCAAAATATTTCTGCTTCTTAAATGCCAATTCAGTCTGTTTTTAAAATTTTTTAAAGGCATTTACGTAAGCATGGCAGAAGGCTGATACGTTTGATATTTTCAATACTAGACCGCTTACCTTCAATATTTTTAGGAATAGTTACAATTTTATCTTTTTTCCACACTACTGGAAAGTGTTTCTGATTTAGACAGGCATTAAATAATTTATATAAGATAGAAGAACAAACATCAAGTTGAAAATTCCATATAATTTCATTTGTGATTTTCTCCAGTCCAGGAGTTTTACCTAATTTTAAACCTTTAATAACATCATTAACTTCAGCTTAAACATGGAGAATGGAAAGGCATCATCTGCATCATAAGGAGAAGTCATCTCAGAGCGGAAAGTTTTATGAATTTCATCATTGTGAACAAAGCTGTCAAGAGGAAGTGACCATTGTAAAAATAGCATCTATTGTAGCCTCAGAAGATAAAGTAATTTGCTGTGATGACAATTCAATTCCTGAAATTTCAATATTTTTAGAAAAATTAATTTTCACATCAAAAGAATAGATCTTTCAAACATTATGCATCGTAAATATCACTGACAAACGCTTTCCAAGAAATAAATTTTCTTCTAACTTTGATGTATATTTTACCTTTATTTGCAAATAAATCTTCTTGTAAATATTTCTCAAAATCGCATTTTTTGTTCTTTGATATTTCCTTCTAGCTGCCTCTAAATTTAACTGTGTGTACATACAATCGATCTCTATTGACCAACGTGGAACATTATGTAAAGGAGATTTCTTCAATGGGGGATGGATTGTTTTCCAGCAGAAATAATTAAACTGTGCAGTTTTGTAACAGTTTTTTCTAACATCTCTGGGGGAGTACAGTTTTGCAAAGAGTTCAGTAATTCTACCTTATAATCTATGCAGAAACTTTGAAAATGAGTTTTTTGTTATTTGGGGGAAAAAAAAAGTTTGCTTTTTTAATGTTAAAAAGAATGCTTTTCAAGGCACATCTTAAATTATTTCTCACATAAGGCATAGAGATTTTAAGGAAAAATCATTGTTTGATCAGACAGACATTCAAACTTAGGAATATAGCAGTTTTGGATATTCTGAAGAAGACTTTGTCCAACAACTGTGAACAATATAATTAGATCCCTGTGTGCCACAAAAAGTGGGTCCACAGTCTATATTAAACAACAAAAGATGCCAAGCACTCAATTCACAGAACTTTAAACCTCTAAAGTCAGTGAAGTGAATAGACCAAATACCTGATTTACTATTTGAATCCATACCCCAGATCAAATGTTGCATCTTTTTTCCTTAAAAACATGGAGTGATTTATGTAAGATCAGCATCAATGTTCATAGAAGGTTCAAAATAATAGGAAAACAAAATGAAATCAAAATTTGCAACTGAAATATCAGCAATAAACATGTTTTGATCAACATTTTCTAAATCAAGGAAAGCAGATGTAGAACTTAAATGAATAATAAATAATGCCTGCCTAATAACTTCAGAGGTCAATTTGAAAAAAGGTTTCTTTCTTCAAGTTGTGAAGTTTTATGTATATCCAGGAAGTGTTCCTTTGAAACAGTGAGGCTGTTGAATTAAGAGCAACATTCATATCAGCACTCTCCATATAAAGAATTAATTATTGTGTGGTAACTTTAGATTTATGAAAATTTAGCTAAACACAGATCAAAGAGAAATATTAGCCATAGTAAGTCTGAGAAATAATCACATTTTTAAAAAAACTTATTTGTGTTACAGCAATTTGGAAAAGGTTTTATGATGGACATTAACTTTTTTGCTAGCATTCTTAATTCTTTTATTAAATCGGACAAAGCTGCATATATCTGAATATCCAGATTGCATTCTGAACTTTTGTCTTCTCCCATACACCTAAAGCAGATTAAGAAATTTGTGCACTTAGATGCCTTATGATTATATGATAAACATTTAAACAACGATTAAAGACACACACAACATCTACCATTTACCGCTTCTTTGCTTTTGTATTTTTGCTTAAGTCATTTGTCGCACTTTAATTCTAATGTTTAAAATCTGCCTTACTTTGATCAGCATATTGCTTACAATTAGTATTGAATTTTATTTGTAAATATTCAAGTGTTTATATTGTTTATTTAATCTTTATTACACATTTCATTGCACTTTATTTTACTTATGTTAATATTTTCACGGAACCACAATATCTAACTTTTTAGTGTACGAACTAGGAATTTTCTTTTAACTTTTTCCTAAATTTTGCAGCTCAATGAGCAAAGTTTTTGACCACATAGGTCTTTTATCATTTGTTCTCTTTTCTTTAATTACTAATGTATTAAAAATTTAATAGCTTTGTTTTCAATAAATCTTGATTAGATAATTTTTATCATGTTAGTTTTATGTATACTAACAGTTCAACTTTAAAGTAAAACTTAGAAGGATAAAATTATGAAAAAAAGATCAGGAAGATATGAAACTGCAAAATTCTGTAATCCACATAAACTTTGGCTTCAAGGAATTCAATAAGGTATTCAATTCATCAGTAGATAATAAAAAAAGCGAAGGTGCTTACCTTATGCTTGATTTGATAGGGACCATTTACTTTTCTGCCTGTGCATCCGAAATTATAATTCCTAGTATTCGTCTATGTGTGTAATTCTTAGAATTAATTAATCAATTAACACATTGAATGAATCTAAATTTAATAATCTATTTACATTAATTATTTACATGAAAAAGCAGTGTGCTGAGCTGATAATTCAGAACCCAATGATTCAGCACACTCCGTAGTCTAGCACTTATTTGAGGCCAACATCATTGTAGCTGAATGTTGGGCAGCAAAATGTTTTGAAGAAAGCAAACTTAGTCTTAC